TTACTGAACACCAAATCACTCGCCCTCAATATGGTTCGTAACAACTAGGCAGCATAATAGATCTAATTCGTTTATAAAATTTTGATGGTAGATTTCTAGATTGGAGAAATTTTGGAAATTGTAGCTCAGTTATACCGAATCTGACAACTATCAAACACTTTGAGTTTTTGATGTTTTCTTTTATCAGCGGTCATTCACTGATTGAGTGATTCACCAACAATTAATCATTAAAACTGTAAAATGTGGCATAATTAATAATAAGTACCTAATCTCACACCCAACCTATTCTCAAACCTTTCATTCATGAGCTGTTATTTATTTACTAGAAGTGACTATGATGTCCTCAACTTGTGTGCATTAAAGCTTAGTTTCTGACAGACATGTCTGCTGCTGTTTAATTAAAACAGTGCATTGTAAGGAATATTTACATTAAATATCTTATTACTTAGCATAATTTCATACAAATTGCTATTACTTTTGTAAGTCCTGTAAATACACCATTAACTTTTTGTAAAAATGATTATTAGAGACAAAAATATCTTCAAGCAGGTACCTGCATCCTGTAGGGTACTTCATTGTCATGTGATATTCATATAATAATCACCTCATTGGCTAAACTAAACAGTAGAATTTCAGAGATACTTGAAGGGGTTTGAGATTAGGTTCTTTCTTTTAAGAGGCCATGTTAATTTTATAAAAGAGGGTTGTGCTTTTCAAAGATGGAAAAAGAGCTTTTTTAATTGTTGAATTTCAGTCAAATTTTACAGAAATGTTACATAAAGATTAAAGGGTACATATGTAAAGAATTTTGATAAAGATTTAATCTTATTTATACTAAAAGACCTCTTGCATGCTTAGAATAGAGGTTTGAGAACTGGTTTGCCCACGATAATTGTAATAGAAATCTGAATTAAATTTAATGCATATGATATTTCCAATTCTTAAAATTCTTAAATTCTTAAAAATGGCTATAAATAGTAAAAAATGTACATGTATTTAAAATTCATTAAAACACTACTTTAGGTTTCTCAGCAGCAAGGGTTGCTTCTTTGCTTCTGAATTTTACTATCTCATTTTTGTGTTGCCTTGAAAAAGGCGACATATAGGGGTTACTTTTGTTGGCGGTGTCGGCGTTGTTGTCGTCGTCTTTGTCGGTGTCGTCGTCTGCTTCGTCGTCGGCTTCGTTGTCAGCGTCCCCTAAAGCTTGTCCGGAGCATAAGTCAGTCATTATAAGTCATTTTGACTTCAAACTTGGTATGCATGTTTCTCATAATGACCCAAAGTGCAGTGCACAAGAACCAGTACTCTGTACTTCTTATTTATTGAGTTATTGCCCTTTGTTTATTTTTTATACTTTATTTTTGTCCGGGCCATTTCTCCTTAAGTATAAAATCTATGGACTTGAAACTTCATAGGATGATAGATCTCATTAAAAAGAAGTGCAGTGCACAAGAACTGGTACTCTGTATTTCTTATTTTTTGAGTTATTGCCCTTTGTTAATTTTCATACTTTATTTTTGTCCGGGCCATTTCTCCTTAAGTATAAAATCTATGGACTTAAAACTTCATAGGATGATAGATCTCATTAAGAAAAAGTGCAGTGCACAAGAACTGGTACTCTGCATTTCTTATTTTTTGAGTTATTGCCCTTTGTTAATTTTCATACTTTATTTTTGTCCAGGCCATTTCTCCTAAAGTATAAAAGCTATGGACTTGAAACTTCATAGGATGATAGATCTCATTAAGAAGAAGTGCAGTGCACAAGAACTGGTACTCTGCATTTCTTATTTTTTGAGTTATTGCCCTTTGTTAATTTTCATACTTTATTTTTGTCCAGGCCTTTTCTCCTAAAGTATAAAAGCTATTATGGACATGAAACTTCATAGGATGATAGATCTCATTAAGAAGAAGTGCAGTGCCCAAGAACTGATACTCTGCATTTCTTATCTTTTGAGTTATTGCCCTTTGTTAATTTTCATACTAAATAAAGTAACTTTATTTTTGTCTTTGCCATTTCTCATAAATTATAAAAGCTTTAGACTTGAAACTTAATAGGATGATAGATCTTATTGATAAGAAGTGCAGTGCAAAGAAACTGCTGATCTGCATTTCTTATTTTTTGAGTTATTGCCCTTTGTTGATTTTCAAATTTCAGTTTGGTCTTTGCCATTTCTCTTAAACTATATTGTTCACAATCCGACTCGCAGAGTTCTAGTTTTATAAATCACATGAAAAAATCACATGTACTGTAAATTATAGATAAGTCAAATGAATTAAGTGTCATGTATAAGAACCATAACTCTCAAAGTTATTACCCTTTGCAGGGATTTAAATCATTTTCAGTTTTCAGGGGTCCAGTGGATGCACTAGTTCTGTAATTAAAGGGGTACAACCACAAACACTCACAGGGGGTACAAACAAATTTCAGCAGTCCAACTCCTTACTAAACCAAACTGTTTAATTATCATATCTAAGATGGTTTTGACTGCTTTATTATGTTGAACAAAATTTATGATGCTGGCATTATATTTTTTATGCATCCATTTGAATGCAAGAGCCTCGGTATTGTGCATCCAAGTAGACTCTTTAGGGGTTACCATTCAATTTAAAGTTTGTCTTCAAAGATAGATACTGTAGATTTTATAGAATATTATATATGCAGTGCACAAGAACAGTAACTCATAAATTTGGAGAAATTGCCTTCTAATTATACTTCTATGTAACACAAAAAAGTATAGCAGATATTTACCTCAAACATTATTGATGTATAGATTCCTTCTAGGCAAAGTACATTGTCTAGGAACCATAAGTCTCTTGCAAAATTTATTTTTAGCTTTACAAATAGTTAGAGAAGTGCACTGTTTAAAAGTCATAAATCTCCTTTATTCAACTTTGGAGTTATTGCCCTTTGTATTGTTACATATTTAATTTTTGTTCAGGACATACTGTAAAGATTTTGAGTAAAATCAACCTGATATTTCACAATTTGTTTGGTCTCTTTAAGGAGAAACACAGTACATAATATTCAGATCAAAACTATATTTAAATCCTGTTTACTCCTGGTCTGATTTGATAGTTTGAGCTTTTACAGAAGCTTAAGCCAAACGATTTGTATCATATATTTTAAGGTAGGATATTAGTTAAGACTAAGAATTTTCTTGTTTAAGTTTATTGCTCTTAAACAATATGAACACATGACATTGAAATGTAATAAACAAATTTATTATATATCTAATAAATCCAACCAATCAACAATCTGCATTTGTACCTTGTGACCAGCCAAAATATTCCTGTATTGGATAAAAAAAAAAATTATTTTCATATTGGTAGGTTGGGTACATGTGCACTAAATGACCATGCATATATTATGAGGTGAAGCCATTTGCGTTACATAAACATAGCCTTAAGACATGCTAAATGTTAGCGTTATACTAATGTCAATGTGATTATTGAAATAAGGGGTATCAATGTGATATTTTTTCGGATTTTCTTTTATATAATTATGAATTTATGATGTTTATTAAACAGATATTTATGATAAATGTAAGTTGTTACAATGTATAATTTGTTTAGGCATGTTTACTGTCATTTTCTTGAACTCACAGTAAATCATAAATGATTATGTTATTTTAAATTAAACGAAAGATATAGTAAAAAGGTTTTTATACATTTTACTGTATAATATGGAATATATTTGGACTCGTACACAGCTTATTGGCTCGTCCATTATGACTTTTCAAGCTGTGTACTCATCCAAATATATTCCCGTATTGAAACAGTAAAATGTATAATAACCTATAATTATAAGATTATTACATATTTCATATCATTGTTTCCCATTAACGCCCCCTCTATAATTAGCCCCCCCCCACCACATTTTGTAGGAAAAAAACTCTTACATCATTGATTTATAATCCATGTTAGAGCATTCCAAAAATTCAAAATATTTTTAAATTTTATTTAAAAAGAACAAAGTAATGTAAAATCATTAAAAAAATATAATCCTGTATTATATATTAGATAATAGTTTGAATAATGATTTTTATAATTGAATTATATCTTTGATTAACATATTTCATATTTCAAAGCACATTTTTGTAGTTCTAATTAGGCTCCCCCCCCATGGGCTTTAAAAAGAGACAATACAGTATTAACTTTTTTAAGGTATTAGCACCCTAATGCATTACCTCCGCTTTGAAGAGTATTCAAATAGGCTAGAACTACTGTTAACTACATTGAAAATGAGGGCCATGGGTTCAATCCCCAGAAGGGTCAACTTTTTTTTTTCTTTCTTTTTTTTTCTTTTAACATTATTTATGTATCTCTCATGTCCCATTTGGAAAGAAAAAAGTGTTTAATTTTGATTTTTTAATTTATATAGGTATTTATTGGCTAAATTATGCTAAATCTAGTAATAAATATGGTACCTGATATTTTCAAAGTGTAATATAATCAAAACTAGACGGTAAAAGTATTTCATATTTTACAAGATCAACCAATATACTTTTTTAAAAATTTAGGGAAACTTTGAAAACAGGCACTCATTTGGGTAAATTTTAAGAATTTTTTAAATTAGGCTCCCTAAGTAGAAAAATGGTCAGACACGTGGTAAAAATGGGTGGGGTAGGGTAACATTTTTATACAGATTTCATAAATTTTAAGTAGAAACCATAATTTTGCTTATTTGGATTGTTAGCTGAATGGTACTATTTGTTTCTTACCAAAAATTAATGGGAAAACATTTTTCATTAGAATGTTATTGCAGATTATTTAAAGGTTCCTACTTTCTAAAAAAGGGCCCTCATAACATCCTAGCTTGAGTTCAGAAAAGTGGCCATAACTTGATTTCCGTACGGTAAACTTTGTTTAAATTTTGCATACAGGTGTACTTTAAGGTATACATCTGACTTATGATGTCAATTTTTTAGTTCCTGATAGTGCCCATTAGGGTCCTAATACCTTAATTTATTTTTCTTTACTTTTATATATAATTGTTAAAGGTCATCACCGAGAGAAAGGTTTCCGCCACTTGCTCCTGGTAGAACATCTTTAGTTGCCAGCAAACCAAAATTGGCTTATGAAAAGATTGAGAGGATTACACCAAGGTCACCACCTTACATCAATGGCCGCTGCCCTCCTCCACCTGAACGTTTCAAACGTCAGAGACCCAGCAGTGGTCAATCTCCCACCTTTTTAATGGAGGATATAAAACGCCAAAGGCCTGGCAGTGGACTTAAAACACCCGAGGGTAAGGAATATTAGCCAAGTTACATATTAAGCAGACACTAAGACTATATAAGCATCAAACATTTGAAGATTAGCAAGGAGCATTATGAAGCTATCTGAAGTTCTGATTTACTTTTTAAACTCTTAATTGTTACTGCTATTTACTGCAATTATTATACCATATGCCACCTTTTAGGGTTCATCAAAGATTAGAAAAGAAATGTTGTTTTATGTTTTGTATTTATTTGTTTTAGAAATGTATATGATTTCTAATATTTCAGACTTAACCATATCTGGACACACCTGCACTATAATTGCCCTTGACATTGAGCTCACAGCTGATAGCTCAACACCTGTGACAGTCATGGATAAACCACAGAGAAATATTAAAAGGTATGTTGTTATTACATCTGTATTGAAACTTTTTATGCTCCCCGAAGTATATATATAGTCGTCACTTTGTCTGTCCATCCCTCCATCTGTCCGCTATTCTTTGAAACAACAAGTGGTATCAACATGAAACTTTGTAGGTAGATAGATCTTATTGGGTAGAAGTGCAGTGCAAAAGAACCATAACTCTGTCTAGCCTAATTTTGGAGTTATTGCCCTTTGTTCATTTTTACACTTTGAACTTTGTCAGGGACATAACTCTTAAACTATATTAGATATCAACATGAAACTTTGAAGATAGATAGATCTCATTGGGTAGAAGTGCAGTGCATAAGAACCATAACTCTGTCTTGCCTAATTTTGGAGTTATTGTCCTTTGTTCATTTTTACACTTTGAACTTTGTCAGGGACATAACTCTGATTAATCCATAAGAGGTATCAACATGAAACTTTGTAGGTAGATTGATCTTATTAAATAGAAGTGCAGTGGAAAAAAAACCCCTTAACTCTGCCTTGCTTAATTTTGGAGTTATTGCCCTTTGTTTATTTTTACACTTTATATATACAGTGATTTTTCTACTTATACATGTATAACAGACTCCGAAAAAAGGCCTCTTCCCAATTGAAATTTTCTTTAAAATCATGCAGTTTTCCCAAAAATCTGAACTTAAACCAGCTTTTTTTACTTCCCAAATCAGCAATTTTAGCGATAATTTTTCCCAAAATCAAGAGGCTCAGGCCTCTTCCCAATTAAGTGAGAAAAATCACTGATATATATTTATTTATTTATAACAGAGATAGTGCTGTAAAATCATTCTCAGTACAGCATATTGGCCAAGAATTTTCACCTACTCCAAACTTCATCTCTTTATCTACGGAATCTGCTACAAATCGGCCTCCAACCCCTGTTGTCCTTGATGCAAAAGCAGAGAAAAAGAGGAAAAGAAGGGAAAGAAAAGAAAGAGAGGCAAGGAAATTTGAGGAAGCCAGACTTAAAGAACAAGAAAAGCTGGAAAAGGACAGACAAGTAGCTGAGCTGTCCCGCAACCGATCAATTTTCAATGGAAACAGAGATACCCTTCCATCCATTGGCAAAAAGACTGCAGAGGTAAACATTTTGCTTTAGATATATATTAGAATCGAAAGTTAAATTAATTGCCTCCTTTCCTCTGTCTGTCCGTCAGTTACATGTAGCAATTTGGTTTCTGAAGCATAACTTAAGTTTCATTTGGCCCACATTATTCAAACTTCGTAGGATGATTGTCCATACTGAGTAGAAGACTCCTACTGATTTTGGGGTCACAAGGTCAAAGGTCAAGGTCACTTTTACCTTAAAACTGAAAACAGTTTCCACTCAATAATCTATGTATTAATCACGCTACAGCTGTACAATTTTATAGGATGAACAGCCATGTCTAATACATGACCCCTCTTGATTTTAGGGTCATCAGCTCAAAGGTCAGGGTCACAATGACCTTTACACTGAAAATTGTGGTTTCTGGAGCATAACACAAGTTCCATTTGGGTTACAGTGTTCAAACTTCATAGGATGATAATGTTTTATTGAATAAAAAATCTATATTTATACTGGGGTCAAAAGGTCAAAGGTCAGTATCAAATGACCTTAATATTGTTTAAGAAATAATATATCCCAAACTGTGATTTTATAGCTCAATAACATCACTGTTTGGAGTTCGGATGCGAGGAATTATATCACGAGGGCGTAGCCCGAGTGATATAATGTTGCGCATCCGAACGACAAACAGTGATGTTATCCAGCGATAAAATCACCGATTTGGATATATTATTTCGATTCTAACACGAAATTAACAAATAAATGCTGCCGTTCCTGCTATTAAGCAAAATTGCGCCTGATTTGTTTCCGTACTTATTGTCAGCGCGTCGGATTTCATAGTGGTTACGTCACATGTACAATGATTACGTCACACGTCTAAATATAGAACGTCAAACAGTGACTCTATTGCATAATAATACACACTTTTGGTTCTTCTATGTTCAATAGGGAAAAATGCGGGTCGTGTTAGAATAACAGTTTTATAATTGTCAAAATTCATAGGATGATCACTTATATCAAGTATATTAATTATATGCCCGAAAAAATTTGCTTATATAATGCTATACCCCTGGCCTCTTTCTGTCATCCTTATTAAAAAAAACAACAACAACAAAGTCACTTCGGCATATAATGCTCTGCCTAGCGGTGCTCTTGTTTTGACATTTGGCTTCAAGATAAAAGAAAAGTTGGTTGTTACTCATTATTATACCATACTTATAATTTCTTTCATTTGTCATTATAGATTTTATTTATACTTACACAAAATACAAGAATACTCTTATTTTTAAACCTGACAAGTATGACCTTGAACTTAAAAATACCTTTACTATCAATGTTAAGTTATTGAGATTTGATCATAATGTTATTTATTTATCGATGGATTTGATTTATAGTACTATGACAAAACAACACTTACCAGAGACCTTAGCTTGAATTATTATGGTGTGACCTTGACATTACAATGATCTTGACTATTGAGGTCAAAACATTAATTTTTGCTAAAATTGTCATTACTTTGACATGTATTTAAGGCTTATATTTATTCTGGGTCAAATGAACACATTCCTTTTTTAATCATTCAAGAAAAAATTGACTGACCATCAAAATCAAGTGTTAGAATTTTGTTAAAATTGTCAAACTTTTTATTAGTCCCCTACCGGTTTACCGGAGGGGACTTTAGGTTTACCCTCCGTCCGTCTGTCCGTCCGTCTGTCCGTCCTTCCGTCTGTCTGTCAGTCCGTCCGTCCACAAAACTGGATCCCGCGATAACTTGAAAAGTACTGAAAATATTTTTATGAAACTTGGTATATGGATAGATGGCAGTATGGAGATTATGCACATCTTTTTTCTTTTCTTCCTATGTTGAAAATTCTGGTTGCTATGGCAACAAATAGGCTGAAAATATGGCAAATTTTACACATAAACTGGATCCAGTGATAACGCAAAAAAGTACTGGAAATATTTTTTGAAACTTGACATTATGGGTAGATGGCAGTCTTGAGATTATGCACGTCTTTTTTCTTTTCTTCCTATGTTGAAAATTCTGGTTGCTATGGCAACAAATAGGCTGAAAATATGGCAAATTTTTACACATAAACTGGATCCAGTGATAGTGCAAAAAGTACTGGAAATATTTTTATGAAACTTGACATATGGGTAGATGGCAGTCTGGAGATTATGCACGTTTTTTTCTTTTCTTCTTATGTTGAAAATTCTGGTTGCTATGGCAACACATAGACTGAAAATATGGCAAATATTAAATATTCATAAAATTGGCAATAACTTTATCCTCAGATTTGTTTTTTACTTGGACAAAACAAAACTTAAATGACAACACTGACACGACGAAAATTTCAAGTATGACCTTGACTTATAAATTACCCTGACAGTTCAGGTCAAATATTAAATTCTATTTAAATTTTTTAAATAAAAATGAAATTGTCTTTGCAAAGCCTTCATCACAATGTTTTTTCTCCAATGAGTTTGGAAAAAAGTTGAGCATATAATGACCCCAGTGCTTGTGGTGGTTCTTGTTTGTTTTTGTTCTTTTGTCCAGTAATCTGACTAGTTTCTTATTGCTAGAAATGTTCCTATTATTTCCCAAAATGTATTTATCAGTAATGTTTCCAATGAGGATAGTTAGGTTTTTCTATTTGAATACTAAATTTCTTGACTCGAAAATATTTGTATTAAGTAATAGAAAGAGCACCGAAACACGAGGTTATCTGATTTGTACGAGGGGGCGTATTAATCAGATTACCGAGTGTTTTGGTGTTCTTTCTCTCTTGTATCATAGTCAAACATAAAAACACGTTCCTTGTTGTTACAATATGAAACCCTGGCAAAAATGAACCAATGAACGAGCATCTAAATATGACATTTCTGTCGATTTCACTTTCACTGCCGTCACAATATGTAAACCCCAGCAAAAATGAGCCAATCAATGGGCATGCTCTGGAGTGCGGGTAACTAATACCCGCACTCCAGTTAACGCACTGTGCATGTATATGTAAACGATTTAACCCTGACACATTTTCAACAGAAAGGTCTCCAAACTATGATACAAGTAATTTTTTATTGCATTGTTGAATATTATAAATATTGAACATTTTGAGTTCAGATTTGCAGTAATAATTGGTCAGGAAGGGACCATCTTATTCTAAGACCTGTGTGTGATTTATTTAAGACCTGTGACATGTGATACTTATTTATTAATTTTGAACAGTTAACAGGGCATCATTACAAATAATATAAGAATTTTTTTTTCTTTTTCAAGTTTAATTATGCATGTACAAAAAAGAATGAAAGTGACTAAACTAATCAGTTGTTCTACATTCAGTAGAGAAGTGTAATGTCTCTGACATCATTTGGATTACGTTTACAATCATCTGACATCATTCATAAAACCTGTCAACATTTCACCATATATATTATAATTAAATTTATATATTCTAACAATTGCTTCACACAAATTCCCAAAATCAAACAAATAGGGCAGTCATGTGCATTAATGCACTGCATAAAAAGGGAGTGCTTACACATCTTATGACATCAGATATGAGACTAATAAACCATTGATGTCAGGAAAATTACTTCTTTACTCAGAGTAGTTCAACATATTGTTATCAATTTTTTTTTTTTTATCAGAATGGAAATAGATATTAGTTTTTTGTGCATTATAGTATAAACTAATTTGAACTCTGAAACCGTGCATTATTCTACTACAGTGTACTCAGAATTCTGACATGATTATCTATTTCCCAAATATAATCATGCTTCACACTAATTCCCAGTATCAGCAAGGAATTCAAGTGCATTATTATTACATGACTAATGCACAGCATAAAGAAGGAGTGCTTACACATGTTTATCACATACCCATGCCGATTTTGCGACTTCGTAAATATGGTATTGCACGGCCGTGCATATATTTTGACGTGACGTCATTCGCTTTATACAAACATAGTGTAAAGACGCGCTAAATGTTAGCGTTATACTATAGGCGCGTCAATGAAAAATACCTCTTATTTCACTTTAAATGGTCTTTATTTTGGGTATGTGATAAATAGAATATCAAATTTGTGTAAGTTCATTACTGAATTTATTGCACTCTTTGAATAAAATAATATGCTCGCCAGAGGCTCGCATAATATAATATTATTCAACTTTTGCAATAAATTCAGTATTGAACTTACACTCAATCAATGTCCTCTATTTTTCACACACCCGTCCCGATTTTGCGACTCCGTATATATGGTATTGCACGGCCGTGCATATATTTTGACGTGACGTCATTAGCGTTATACAAACAGTGTAATGACGCGCTAAATGTTAGCGTTATACTGTAGGCGCGTCAATGAAAAATGACGTTTTGTTTCACTTTAAACAGTCTTTATTTTGGACATGTGATAAATAGAATATTAAATTCGTGTAAGTTAATTACTGAATTTATTGCACTCGTTGAATAAAATAATATTATGCTCGCCAGAGGCTCGCATAATATAATTTTATTCAACTTGTGCAATAAATTCAGTATTGAACTTACACTCAATCAATATCCTCTATATCTTATATGACATCAGATCATAAATCATTGATGTCAGGAAAATTACCATCATGATTATAAAAATATTATTTTACATTTAAACTTGAACTGTGCATTATTCTACAATAATGCACTCAAAATTGAAATAGATTTCATAAATAACACATTCATTTACTTTTTGACAGGAAATAATTGGAATCATGTATTCATAGTGACTACTAATATAGAATGTTATGCATGGCAATTCTGAGTTGCTTCATTTTCCAACAGGTTAACTTTTACATGGGAAAACTGCCACAGATTGAGGAAGTTGATTACAACGGCAAAGCCTTGCCTGACAACAACGTAGTGGACGTTATACAAAAGCATGAAGCACAAGTTGAAACCACTGCCTACCTGCGCATGATCAGCCAGGACTACATTAATGCCAGTGCTGAATTGATGGAAGCCTATAAGGTATACTATGTGATTATTTCAATATGAAAACGAAAAATTTGTAATTTTACTTTTATATGTGTTTAGGTATTTAATTTACACATCAAAATTTCTATATAATTATGGTAACTTTGTATATTTTGGGCAGTATCAATCTTTATGTTGTCAAAGAGTAATTAGAGCTAGGGCATGTAAGTTATTAACTAGGTTTTCAGGGCTTTTTTTCCTTCTTTAGCAGGGGGGCAGGGAAGCGTTCCCAAAGAAAAATTCTTTAAAATCATGCAGTTTTCCCCCAAAAATGAATTGACATCAAGTTCTTTCTTCCCCTTATACAAAAATACCATATTACTTTTCCCCATAATTAGGGGAAGGGCTGCTTCCCCAGTCTGTGAAAAAAGCCCTGGTTTTGATATATTTTCCATAGCTTTAGTTATCTATAATTGTTAAATATGTGCATGATATATAATGTATATGTTTATAGGAAAATGAGGCTCTTGAAATCATTGAGGCCCATGAGGAAGAGGTTGGAAGGAAGCATGCAGCAACTAACTACTATGTCAGCGGCAGTTATTCCAACAGGAGTCAATCATGCAGGACCTCCTCTGCCCGATCTAGATGCCCCTCAGGAGTGGCATCTAGACGGATAATTGCCTAAATCCTTTCAAATTGTCATGCATGCTCACATAAATTTTAAGGCCAAAAACAATGTAAACAAATTTCAAATAGTTTCCTTATCAACATAATGTTTTTTTATCTTTGGGAGAAAAAAACAAACTAGTTAAACAATTTGAAAAATTAAATTTTGAACAAACACCTTTTTTGGCAGTCACATACTGAAAAAAAACACTTTCATTTTTTTCATTTTTCATTTTTTTTTTTAATCAATACAGAAAACTTAATGGATATATAACTGACTGTTTATGAAACAGGTTAAATACATCTTTTACAAATTTGATTGTGATTTAACTTTATTTTATCAGGTCCTCTTTGAGCTAAATGTATTAATACACCTAGATATACCACAGTTATAATGTTTGCAGGAATGCAACCCTACATAATAATATTATTTTATTTTTTTCATTTTCAGTAAGAAAAGTTTACATCTATAAAAATTAAAATTCATAATAGGAGGTTGCTGCATAGGGCAGATTGGTGCAGGTTGAAGTTTTTATCCATTCCTTACAATTGAAGTTTAAGGCATGTCATGAGTAATTTAGGCTTTAAATATTCACTTTTATAAAATTCCTTTTCCATCTCACAATGTTAACCTGGTTGGTCAAAAAATACTAAAACAACCTTTTTAATTTCATAAGCTTTTTGATTGTTAATTGTTTGAATATTAATATACATTTACATATCTACACATTCATTACAAACATTTAGGTACACTTTTATTACATACTTTTACATACACATTCATTACAAACATTTTACCTAAACCTTCATTACAAACTCATAACAAACTATAAACATACACATTCATTACAAACATTTACATATTGGAACATTCAATTCATTTAGACATATTCATATACATCACATAAGCATCTATTAATACATATAATAACATATTTATTTGACAGTACATTGGTCTTCCTCTTTTTAAATTTGAACACTCAAACTTTTCTGCCATAAAATATTGTAATATCTAATAGGGTAACTGAAAAAAAAATCAAGTTTGGACTGGTGATTGGTGTACAGTGTTGATGAAAAATAATTTTAAATATGATAATTTTTAACAATTCAAATGGTGATTTTTTTTTTCGGAAAAATGTTTTTTTATTTTTACTGTTTTTTTTTCTCTTAAGAAATATTTTCAATTCCAAGATGGCTCGATACGAGGGTAGTAAAGGATGTCTAAAAAATTTGAAAAATGTAAAAAAAGTGACATCCTTGCTTTTCTTGTATCTGATATTTTATTTAACTTTTTCCTTTTATTCCTGTTTTTTTTTCTTACATTTTAAAAATTCACTCTTTTTTTGTTCACAACACTGTTCACTTGAATGAGCACACATTTGTTTGGGAACATAAAGTCAAGAAAATCTGAGTCATTATTAGAAAGATGTCACATTGGCTACCATATCAGACTTCAAAATGTTAGCAGTATTACCAGCAATACAATAACACATTGTAACATTTGCAGTTTGCACACATTAATCCATTTATTCCTCCCCTCCCCCACCCCTAAGTCCACCAAACACACCCTTGAACAAATTGACATTGTTTATATCACTAGACTTACTATTTTGGCTTACACATTTGTCAACTTATTTGTATTTTTTTAGTCAGAAAAAAAGGAAGAATTATGTTTAATATTAAAACTGCAATAAAAGTAGGAGTGTGACCTGGTGAGCATTATTAGTACCAAAACACTTCATTTTTTTTATATATATATATATTTGGTAAATATAATTTATTAACATTTTTTAAAACATATAAACAAAATCTTCTAAGTGCATTAAGAGCTTGAAAGCTGTACATTCTATTTTTATTCTTTTGAAATGTTACAATACAAGGGGAACATTAAGATGTCGTAAAATGTAAAAAATGTAAAAAAAATAATATGACAATCTGTTCTCCTTGCATTAGATTTTTTTTTCCTTTTAAAACAAACTTTTTTCGGCCATTGTTTTACATAAATTGTTTTCCTTTGTTAGATTTTTCACAATAATGTTCACTAGGTCGTTTGTAGCAAAATATCTGACTGCCATTTTAGACATCAAAATATTAGCAGTATTCAGTAAAAACACATTGTAATATTTGCATTTGTACACAATTACCCAATTATCCCCCAATACCTTTGAAATTTATACACATTTACCTATTAAACCCCCCTCACACCACCCCCAAAATGCAAATAGTACCCATTTATTCCTTTCTCCTCCACCCCCAACACACCCAGGAACATATTGACATTGTTACTATTTGGCATACAATATTTTTATTTATTTGTAATTTTACTGTCAAAACAAAAATGAATTATGTATATTTAAACTACAATAAAAGAAGGATTGTGATCTGGTGAACATTGATGGTACCAAAACACTTCATTATTTAATATATTTAGTAAATATTATTTAATAACAATTTTTTTTAACTATTAAACTAAACATCTTACTGGACTAAGAACTTGAGAGCTCTACGGACTATTTTTATTCTTTTAAAATTAATCCAAAATTGTTTCAATACAAGGGGAACATTAAGATGTCGTAAAATGTGAAAAAATGTAAAAAAAAAAAAATAATATGACAATCTGTTCTCCTTGTATTAGATTTTTTTCCTTCCTTTTAAGAAACAACATTTGGCCATTGTTTACATAAATTGTTTTAGACATAAAATATATGCAGTATTAGTTAATAACATGTTGTAACATTTGCAATTTCTACACATTTTACCAATTTATTCGCCCCCCCCCCCCCCTCCCCAACTTCAATTTGTACACATTTACCAACAATTTATCACCACACCCCCGCCCCAAACTGCAATTTGTACACATTTTACCAACAATTTATCACCACCCCCGCCCCAAACTGGCAATTTGTACACATTTACCACGCCCCAACTGCAATTTGTACACATTTACCAACAATTTATCACCACCCCCGCCCCAAACTACAATTTGTACACATTTACCAACAATTTATCACCACCCCCGCCCCAAACAGCAATTTGTACACATTTACCAACAATTTATCACCACCCCCGCCCCAAACAGCAATTTGTACACATTTACCAACAATTTATCACCACCCCCGCCCAAAACTGCAATTTGTACACATTTACCAACAATTTATCACCACCCCCGCCCAAACTGCAATTTGTACACATTTACCAACAATTTATCACCACCCCCGCCCCAAACTGCAATTTGTACACATTTACCAACAATTTATCACCACCCCCGCCCCAAACTGCAATTTGTACACATTTACCAACAATTTATCACCACCCCCGCCCCAAACTGCAATTTGTACACATTTACCAACAATTTATCACCACCCCCGCCCCAAACTGCAATTTGTACACATTTACCAACAATTTATCACCACCCCGCCCCAAACAGCAATTTGTACACATTTACCAACAATTTATCACCACCCCCACCCAAACTGCAATTACACATTTACCAACAATTTATCACCACCCCCGCCCCAAACTGCAATTTGTACACATTTACCAACAATTTATCACCACCCCCGCCCCAAACTGCAATTTGTACACATTTAACCAACAATTTATCACCACCCCGCCCCCAAACAGCAATTTGTACACATTTACCAACAATTTATCACCACCCCCACCCCAAACTGCAATTTGTACACATTTACACATTTACCCATTTATTCCTCTCCTCCACCTGCCGCAAACACACCCAGGAACAAATTGACATTGTTTATTACTGTTTTGGCATACTATTCTATTTATTTGTAATTTTACTGTCAGAAAAATGAATAATGTATATTAAAACTACAATAAAAGAAGGATTGTGACCTAGTGAACATTGATGGTACCAAAACACTTCATTATTTCTTTTTTATATATATATTTAGTAAATATTATTTAATAACATTTTTTTTTAAATCTTTAAACAAAATATCTTACTGGACTAAGAACTTGAGAGCTATACAGACTATTTATATTCTTTTAAAATGAATCCAAAAATGTTTCAATACAAGGGGAACATTAAGATGTCGTAAAATGTGAAAAAATGTAAAAAAAAAAATAATATGACAATCTGTTCTCCTTGTATTAGATTTTTTTTCTTCCTTTTAAAAACTTTTTTGGCCATTTTTTACATAAATTGTTTTCCTTTGTACAATTTTTTTTTCAGAATGTTCACTAGGTTGTTTGTAGCAAAATGATAATAACAATCCTGGCGATTTAGATCTTGAAAATAAAGCTTTGTGGTTATTTAAAGACATCTGTTGTTTCAAGAAATTTGTTTACTGAATTTTCAGAAGTATTTCAAATACATTAAAACATACATATCTCCGGACAGATGCCAGATTGGCTGACATTTTAGACATCAAAATATTAGCAGTATTAGTGATAATACATTGTGGCATTTGCAGTTTGTACACATTTACCCATTTATCCCCCAACATCTCCCTCAAACTGCAATTTATACACATTTACCCATTATCCCCCATCCCCAACAGTTTCCTCAAGCTGCAATTTGTACACATTTACCCATTTATGCCACCACCCACCTCCTAAAACACACCCAGGAACAATTACTTTTTTGGCATACAAATTTTTCAATTTATTTTTAATTTTTTCAGTCAGAAAAAAAAGAATTATGTATATTAAAACTGCAATAACATTTGGATTGTGACCTGGTAAACATTGATGGCACCAAAACATTTCATTATTTTCTTTTATTTGATAAATATAACTTGATTATATTTTTATGATAATAACAATTCAGGCAATTTAGATTTTAATGTTTACATATATCTAGACTTAGACACAGTAAATACTAGGAGTAATCTAGTCATTCTTATATATTCTTATATAGCTAATTAACATCAGTATACTACTGTTCACTACATCAACATGTCACATTCACTACATCAATATGTCAATTTACCATGTTCACTACATCAAGATGTTATGTTCACTAAAATGATAACATTCATTACTGTTATACCAGTCCACATTCACTAAAACATCAATATTTCATCATTTTATCATATCACATGTGCTATTTTAAAACATCATGTTCACTACATCAACATGTCACATTCACTAAAAAGATTATCATAATCACATTCATTACATGCAATGTTCACAAGATACTAGTAGTTTTCACAGGATAGACCATCATATCACATTTACAAAATTGTAACATTAACAACTGTATCATTGGCCTGTCTTGAAATTCATCGTTTTCTTTCTGTTTTTTGATTTTGTAAAAAGATATGGGCCCTATGCAGCAACCAATACCATATTAGTTTTAAAACAAACCCAATATTTCAATTATTTTTGTACTTTTATTTTTCCAAAAACATTTCTAGGCTAGTTATTTTGAAGAAGAAAAAAACCTGGTTAATTATTTATGACTATTTGCTTTGCCTTTTTCTAATTTAATTGTTATAGGAATAGCACTTTCTCTTCTCATTTACAAATTTTTGAAGACAAACATGCCTGTAGTATGTGACTGTCCAATGAAAAACAATCTTTCAAAATTTCATTGAACTTCATTTAACAAGATAATTCATTTATTGTGAGCATGCAATGGCAAAGGAGGAAAAAAGGACTTTTTTGCAACTCTATAAAACCTTATTAAAAGAAATGTTGAAATTTAAATATTTGTTGATTTATTATTATTATTATTATTATTATTATTATTACTACTACTATTATTATAATTATTATTATTATTATAAAATGATTTCCCTGGCCTACAAAAAGGCATGGCATTTTTCTATTTCAATTGGTCCTTGCAATATGTATTAATATTCATTAAATGTCAAAATTGTAACTAGAAGAAAAGGACTGTTAGGATTTCAAATTCTCCTATTTGTTTAAAAACTTTATTTTTTTTGGAACACTTGGAGTAAAACCGATGTGGCACTTACTGTTCCTTGACATTATGAAAGTTTAATTTTGTATTGTTGCAGTTTGGAATAATTATGCAACAAAAGTGTCCTTTCAACTGATTATTATTAAGGGCACATTATGCCTTAAGGGCACATTATGCCCCAGAAATGAATAAAGAAAATTTTCACTTACTTAGAAAGGGCAATCATTAATTTTACAACATTTAAACAACAGATTTAGAGCATGTTAGATGCCCTGTTCATAAAAAAGTAGCACTACATGTAAAATAATTTGTCTAAAAAGTAACAAAATGTAAACAAAGTAGTATTTTAACTTTCATACAAAATATAATTAATCTCTTTAATATACTAATTGCAAAAAAGAGAGAAAAAGATGATGTAATTTGACAGTGAGTAGTTTTGAAACTACATAAGTACACTGAAAAAAGCTATCAAAAAATAAAAGTAAAAGTATTTCTGGGGCATAATGGGCCTTTAACTATAAAATGACATCCATACTCTCTTTGATAAGAATAAGTTCAATAACCTAAACATGAAAAAATAAACAAAAGAAAAAACTACCTTACTTGGAATGATGCTACAATTTCACAAAATAAGCTCTTATTTCAAATTCATAGTACTGTAAATCATTCAGTTGGCAAGTCATAAATCTGAAGTGTTTATAATTGTTCTGAAGTTGTTGACAATGTTTAATAAAACAGCAACGATGTGAAAAAGAGAAAAGAAATTCTCGTCCCTTTAGGACCTGTAATGTAACCTGCCCCTGGCCCCCTCCCCTCAAAAGGAGAGAAAAAGAACAACTTAATTAAGTAAATATGCTATTACCGAGAATGTTATTATAAGTTGCCTATATGTATCATCGGAATTTTGTCAGTTTTGATTTATGTGTTTAAATTCACTATAGCAAAAGCACAAGGCCAGCTTTTTTTTGATCACGCACTATCTCCATATGTTTGTCCGTCCGTCCACAATTCAAATGACATCAAACATACTGAGCTATTGTCATCATTACTTCATAGGAATGTTCCTTGGGTGATCCTCATAATGATCGTTTTGTGACAATGTACCAGGATTGTTTAATTAATTTCAATATGGTATAAACATCGAGTTCACTAACCTTTATTGAATAAAATAAAAATCGTCCTGATTAAACCTGTTACCTTTGAAAAACAGCTACATATCACAGGGTTGACAGAATGACATTACTTTTAATGTCATATGACTGGTTAACTTTGCCAAAGCCCCATATTCATCAATCCGCGATTAATGTTCAATTTCCTTCCCCTTAGGGTTACCAAACACCCAAGCTTCCCTATTAAAGGAATAGCGGCCGAAAATAAAATAAAATGGACATTTGACATTTCCCTAGATTAACCTATTTCCTAGGACCTAAACTAAACACCCCCAGACCCAAAACAAAAAGTAAACTACGCTTTGAGATTTTAGACAGCCTACAAGCAGAAGTATTAGATTAGAAATATTAAAATTTTTAACTGGTTGCCTAACGACGGGAATAAGAAGACTTTTACACAGATGAACAACCTTATTGAGATTAATGTGTCCTTTATTACGGTTATGTAGTGATGTTTTGTTAATCGTTGTGAACTGATATTGAGAATGAGTAGTTTCTCAATTGACCGTCATAATTAAATAAAAATAACTTGTATTTTATTGACTATCAAGATCTAGTTGTCTATTTAATATCAATTAGTAAAAATCATAACACAAGACGTGACACTGTTGTACTTTTAAGTGTCAATGGAATTTTGTTTCCTTTGGTGAGCGGTACAGTGCCATCAAGGACCTCTTGTTTTTCGGTTACACACATTCCTTTAAAATTTCAAGAATACGTTAAAGTATTTTCGTCAATACCAGATTCTTGACAATAATGATTCACTGTCCCCATCTCTCTAAGTTCCATTATCCTAGAATTATGTTGCAATTTACAAGTTTTTTTATTCAGTATCATTCGTGCATTGAGGATCATTAACAAATTAATTAAACTACATCTGTTTTCACTGTAAGCCCATATGGTTCAGTGTCTAGGTTGCTATCGATTTTATTGGTGCTAAGCTATGTAACTTATAGCTTATAATACTGTAGTTATTGCATTGTCGCTTTACTTTTTCGTCTGCTCTTTCATCGTCCGATTTTCTCAGAATTTATTAAGATTTATTCTTTTTGGTCTTGCTATCATTGAACCCTGTTGTTAAAAAACACGTGCGTGAATGGCAAATTCTTTGAAAGCAGACCCCTTACCCACTTGGCCACCATTCCCACCAGCATACGGACATTTAAAAAAGTTTCTTTAATCAGTACCACACACATTAAACAATTTACTCCGGGAAATTGATAAATTACAAATGAAAATGTTCTATTTCCACTTTACAGAGAAAACCTTTTGGTGTGAAACAATATATCTGAAACGTTTTATCACTAGAATTAATATCTGTGAGAAACATCCACTGATTTCGTTTAAATACCGTTTTGTATTTAATTTATATAGTAGCGATACTAAATTTGTGTCTATATCATGGGGTGCCATCCACAATAAAAACTAATTCTTGTGCTTGTCTTCCCACTAAAACAACAATAAACAACAAAAACAACATTTTCTGAAGATACTCTTTATAGGTGAGAAATAAACATCATCTGCGGCATTTTAAAACAAATCTTTTGACAGAAATTGTACTTCATGCCAAAGCTTTAAAATCTTGACTTCGATTTCTACGACAGTCAGATAACATTCGGTGCTAAAGTCAACGTTTTACGATGTTCCTGTAATGCTTATGGAACTTCCTTCATTAAATATTAATACGAGTGTTTGTCGGTTTATAAGAAGTTTGTAGAAACAAATTGATGACAGTGGAAATGAGATATTTTTTCATTCTTAATCTTCATGAGATATGTTATATGCTTGAAAAGAGAAAATCTAGGATATTATCATGAAACAAAATGAAGAACTTCTGAGTCTCAATAATTTGATTTTAAAACGTTACTTCATGATGGATTTTGATCCGTGCCATGACAAACCAACGTAATGCGTTTGCGACCAGCATGGATCCAGACCAGCCTTGCATCGGCGCAGTCTGATCAGGATCCATACAATTCGCTTACAAACCCTATTACAAGTAGAGAAACTGATATTGAACATCATGGATCCTGATCAGACTGCGCTGATGCGCAGGCTGGTCTGGATCCATGCTGGTCGCAAACCCATTATGTTGGTTATGTCGTGACGCGGCTCATTTCTTTAAAACTAATGTGGTCAATGCGAACATTTTCTGTGTAAGATCATACAGCTGGACTAAAAGCTAACATTTTTGTCGTTTGGAAGTAAGATGTATAATTTTACGTAAGATTTCTTACAATTTTAAACATGAGTATGTCATCTGATTCACAGCAGTAGGACCTAGTACTGGACTTTCATGTTTGTAAGCGGCTTTTAACCATTTCATTGCTGAAACAGAAACAAAAAACCCTGGCCAGCAAGCACATCCGCCCAATCGCATCAGGCACTGATCACTTTATCAATTTTCATCATTCATGAACGGTTTCAAAATTTGGTAGTTAAGAAAAATAAATCAGCATGTTTAGGGTTAAAGAGAATGTCAATTTGTTAAAGCTTTCGTTTCAAAACTGGAGAGAATTTTCAAACTTTACAAGTTTTACTCATGAAGCATAAAAATAAACGATATTTTGATATCAAAATCAGTGTATATTTTATGTAGATGGCAATCAATTTCAAATAAAAATATAGTTTTTAAACGCTAGGCATCTTACAATTAATTAAATTGAAACAAAGGCTGTATTATAAACATTTATGAACTTGCCTTGATTTCATTATTTATTATTCATTTTATTCTTTATTATAGTCTCATCAATGTGATACAGTATATACAACATATAAATAAAAAGCATAATTAAACATAATTAAAAAAGCACATTGCCACTCTCTACAGAGTCATTGGAGATTTTGTATCTTTTAATATCATAATACAAGTACAATGTAGTATTATTATTATATAATAGAGTATTAGAGTCCTCTTAATCTACGTCTTGAGCATAGTATAATATATCCATGGGATATAGGCCTACATGATTGTAAAGAACATGCCCGATAAGGTTAAGTAAGAACATGGATATATAAGATGTATTCAAGTGTATGATTACAAAGAATGTGAGTTCCAAATTCTAACGTCCGATCGAAGCGCACGGCGTCCGTACTAGTACACGGTCGACTTAGTCACATTGATATACGTCATCGCCGCTAATTTATATTTATTAACGTTGATACGTCATCGCCGCTAATTAATGCATGACGTATCAAGATGTTAACAAGGTATACATGTATAGTTTATAAGTACGAACTTTTAAAAAGCTCAACTTTCAGAAAATGCACATATATCGCTAGTCTGACATTAAAGCAGTAAATGAAAAGGTCGTTCCAGTTCAGACATAATAGAATAGAAGTGAAAAGTACTTATTATGTAACGAAAGAAAGAGAAAGAAAAACAAGATGTAAATAAATTTTACGTTTATTACAAGACAATTTGCTTGAAAAAACAATCTCGAAATACAAAAAAATGCCTTTTAGATCACGAAATAAAGTTTTAATACTACCAGAGTTTCTTGCAATACGCCTTTCTTGATACCCGCCTTCTTACGCTGTAATAAGCTATTCAGCGGGTTTGCAGGGCGGTAGTTATACTGTAGTATCCGCACATACCCGGAAAGCTACTAACGTCCTTGTTGAGCTGATGTATGACATTTCCAGTGACTTACATATAGTGACCTTTTCAAAATATGGTTTAATGTTAATTAATATTTAAAAGGTATAGTTACACAACCACTATAATGTATAGAAAGTTCCTTTAGTGCAGACAAAAACGTCATTTCTAACCAGACTTAGTCAAGAAATACAAAACACTTTGTCATCTTAACAGGAAATTGGGCAAAACAGACATATATCTGCTAGACACGAAAACAGTCCTACCTACGTAATCAGCGGTTCAAAGAAAATCCTCGACGTTTTTAAGATTATTTTTAAAATAAAAGCTAGATTAAATTTGTAAATGTACATGACATGTATACACATTGTCATATATTTTATACAGAAACAGTTTTTAAGTAAAGTTGTATTTATTTGCAACACGGAGAGAAGTATTTGCAAATTGTATAAAACGCTTAAAGGGAGATAAGTGATATATAATAACTTATTATTTAAAACACTCTTGTCGCCCTTGAATTACGAATGTTAATGCAGCGAATTTCACAATTTGTGCAATATGAATGTTATCAATTAAAATGAAGTTTCTCATTGCTTTATATAATAATTCATAGAAATGTATATTTTATTATATAGAAACAAATTCACGTTTAACAACACGTGTAAAGTTACATAAGCATTATAAAAATGTTCTATTTTTGAAATTCAAATGTAGTTAGGTTAACAAGTTAGTCACGCACTGTCACACGTACAATAACTTAGGTACATTGAATCTGGGATGCTAGTTCTCTAACGATTGTCATTGTACCTCATATGTTCTATATGTTAAGCGTTTCATATTGGATATAAATATTAAACTGTACTAAAAATCGATTAGCCATACAGAGTACCAGTAAGACTGGGCAGTTGTGGTAAGACTGGGAAGATGTGAAGGATAGCCTGGGTAGATACAAGCGCCGACAGTGGGTAACCATCAATAAGATCTAATGCAGTTTATTAACAAAATGGGTTTTAGAAGCGGCATTGAATTTGCTATTTTAAGATGAAAATGCAAGACATGATATCTTTCAAATTTGGATAAATATGACTCTACTGATATAATAAACAAAACGACAAGGATATCTTCAGGAAGACTTCAAATTTGAATACATGAATATAATCGGCGCTACCAATAGATTTGCATAGTTTACTTGGAAGAAAGTGTGGTGAACTTTCGTTTTTGATTCATTTTAAATCATGATAAAATAAAATTATGAAAATATGAATCAGTAAAATGAACATTTTTGACTCATTATAAATTCATGTACATGTATAAGAAATGTTTCAAGTGCAGTTACACCTGCATATTGACTGTTCCTTATTTTTTTAAAATAGCTCTTTTGATGTGAGTATTATAACCAACATGGTTGTCAATAAACAATTTGTATATAAATAAACAGCTGAGCTTGTCTCATTATTTTGAATGCACTCTTCTTCTTCGGTACCGACCAATTCCTGAAATACGTCCAGCCAGAAGTTAGCCTCCTCCGCGTAGAAATATCAGCGGACGTGTTTGACATGGTTTTGTCGAGATTTAGGAAGTCGCCGGTATCTAAGCTGTATTCTGGCCAATTTGGTGTCACTTGTTCGGGGATGTTCGGATTGCTAAAATACATAATATATGTATACAGATGAGATATGAATTGGTATGCTGTATCATGCACGCATGGAGCATCGACCAATGTTCTTTTAGTCTTTTTTGATAAACAAAATGTCCTCATTAATTAAAGAAGACAGCTTAAAGAATAACACAATGTAGGCACGCTTAATTTCATCTTAAACAGTGGATCGAAGTTTGTAAATATTACAATAACGTACTAAGATTGGTGGGGACATTTCCAAATCATGAACTCCCGATTTCATCTTCGTGAATTCACAATTTTAACTTCATCAACTCACGTTTTCAACATACGAAATTCACGAATTCACGATTTCAACTTCATGAATTCACGATTTCATCTTCACGAATTTACGATTTCAACTTCATGCATTCACGATTTCCATTGCACGCATTCAACATCGTAATGTCACGATTTCAATTTCACGAATTTAGCATCACGAATTCACGATTTCGTGAAGTTGAAATCGCGAATTCGTGAAGTTGAAATCGTGAATTCACGAAGATGAAATCGGGAATTCATGAAGTAGAAATGTCCCCACCGGTCTTTCGCAATAAGGTCATGGTAATGCTCACTTCGCTGTACTTAATCTGTCCAGTAACAGGATAACTTTATATACTGCAAGACTTTGGAGATTTTTCCATGCATGCATGAATGCAAACAGATAACACGTATCATTCTAATATAGAGTCTTACCGAAACATGGAGAAGACACTCTAAAGATATCACCTATAATAATAACAATTGAGAACTACCCAAAAATATTAACCTAGACAGGTAAAATCATAAGGGGAAACGGTCCAGTGAAAAGACTACGGAAGGGATCAAGAGTGGTTTTAATCATGGTTTATCTACATAACTATATGAATACATAACATGCTTACATACGCTTAAGTCGTGGAAACAAATTTTTAAAAGAAGTAATATCACTGCCATATATAATAATGATGATGATGATGATGGTGATGATAATAATAATAATAAGGTAATACGGTGAATTGTATAAAATTGTGACAGCCCAACGTATATAAACAAGAAACGGTTCGTGTACTGAGTTAAAAGAATCGGACATTTTTGGCGTGTATCCATGTTTCAAATGGAACAAAATCGGAGGTACAGTGATACGACTCCCCCAGAGAGATCGATCAATGGATATACCACTAGCACGATGACTAAAGTAAAGAAGGTCAATCGGCTAACATGCCCTCGGCAAAAGATAAACGTATTCTTTTGCAAAGACAAGACTTAATGTATACTTAAGCTTTACCAAGCTGTCGGGTACTGATTCAACGCTATTCAGTCAGTACAAATTCGTAATTTTAAACATTTCTCTAAAAAGATGATTGGTTTTATCCAGATTGAAAGACAGACAAGTCCATTTGAGATAATCAGGGTGGTAAAAGTTAATTGTTGAGGTACGTATACATGTAATATAACCTTCAGAATAAAAGGCATGGTATATATATAATGATAAAACTTACATTCGTGTGTAAATAAAATTGCTGACGTTATTATTGAATAATTAATTTCATTGATCATCGAAACATCAACAATTAAGTACATTTTATTTCAAAAATTATGATGAGGAAAGTGGCGTGGTTGTGCTGCTGCTGCCTCTGTGATGCTGACGATAAGTAATGAATGATAATATAATTGATAATTTAATAGAATAGGACAAAGGCGTCATATCATTACAAATAATTCCTTACCCAGATTTGACAAAATTTGTCCAGTATGCCACCATTTTTGATGCCAGTTCTGTTTCCCATTCATTTCCTGCCACTTTACCGAGTATATCGACCATGCCGAACATAAAAGGAAGTTCATCCATATGGTTTGATCCTGGAATCCAACTAGGCGTCTGAAGGGTAACGACGGATGGTTTTGGTCTAAAATGATACATAAAATTGTTCGGTCGTGACTCATTTGATTTAATATGTAAACGAGCCATCTCAATTGCTGGTACACCGAAATTTGAATCGCCCAACATTTTCGTAATTTGTAGACGAATAGAACTACTGTCAAATGGATTTTCCCAGTCAGTGTACTGCGCTTCTATAACTTTCATTGTACCAGGATTTAGACCTGATTTGAATATTCGATTCAACATAAAGGGCAAGAGAGATGTCGACATTTCTCGTCGTGTCGGTTGTATTGTTTCTATATTTCCTCTGCTTAATACGGTTGCCCAAAGAAACGCCCCTTCATATGCATTGAAACCACTCAGAAAATCAACCGATCTAAAAAATTCAATTTCTTTCAATTCTTCTGCTGATTTGGCAATTTTTTGCGGATTTACTTTGATAAGGTCACCATCGATTATTGGTCCAAAATTTACTCTATAACTAAGTTGAAAGAATGCCCTTAAAATAGTTTCAGAACTTGCATTCCGTAAACATACCATAATAAAATCACTGTTTTCAGTATTGCAATTTAACATTTTAGCCACTAATAAAGTGTTGTCAAAAAGCGGCTGTTCAAAGTCTCGGAGTGGTATTGTTATGCTTCCGCTCTGTGCTATGATTCTTTGGAAAAGTCCCTGATTTTCAGGAAACAGCCCATGTTGAGTTACTGACATTGCACCTGCCGACTCCCCAGCTATAGTCACCCTTTCATTATCTCCACCAAAAGATTCAATATGAGCATTGACCCACTTAAATGCTAAATGCTGATCCCAAAGACCAAAATTCCCGGGCGCGTTCTCATCATCTGTACTTAAAAAGCCGAACATACCTAGCCTGTAATTTATAGTAACCACAATTATATTACCAGATAATGCCATGTTACCACCGTCATAAACTCTTCCTGCCCCTTCAGTAAATCCACCACCATGTATCCATATCATTACAGCATGCCCAGACGGTCTGTCTGCAGGACGTACCGGTACATAAATGTTAAGAAATAAACAATCTTCACTTGATTCGCGAGAAGAAATATTAAAGATAACGGCATTTTGTGGACACACGGCACCATGGTTCTGCGCATAAAATGGAGACTTCAAGCTTTTCAGCTCGACTGGCTTCTTAAACCTTAAATCTCCGGTAGGTGGCTGGGCAAACGGAACTCCTAGATATTCATGCACTTCTCTGTATATCACTTCTTTTTGCAACTTTTTTATTTCTTCCAAAGGTTTAGTTACTTTTCTTCCTATAATTTCACCTATAGTCGTTAACACTTTAGGATCTTGTGCCTCTGCCATAAGCATGAAAGATAATAAAAATATCCAGTTTACATTTGTTTGCACCATTTTAAAAGCTGTGAAGAAGATATAAAACTATGTGACCTAAAGTTTAACTACAGACTACAAATGGTTTATTCGCCGGTACCCTGTACTATAGATTATAAAATAATGTGCACTGAACCAAAGAATTTTCAATTCAACAATGTTGAAGGTCATGCTTGATAACATTTATATGTATTTTAAACAATCATATAGTGCGTTTAAGATAACTATTTAGTGACGCAGTGGTCAAGTCCACTATAACGGTGTAAAACAATTATCATATTGTGTCTAAAAGCAGGCTTGCCATACAAATTTAAATATCCACAAATTTACCAACTGTCGGTGTAACGCAGTAGGTAAAGTTGTGTGTTAAATTTTTAGTTACATATCAATGCAAGACAGCCGTTTCTTTCGGTCCTAAAAAATTCTGTATAATGATCAATCGAGTAAGAAAATATTTTTTTTTCTTGTAAAGATTATTAGTGCGGTGTTATTTTCTATAAACTTCTCATTTCACTTTTGTTTTTAAATGTTGCTATATTAAGAAAGTTGGTGCAACCTGATACGGAATGCATACATATACATAAGTTGTTTCAATTATAGTTAAGTTGGCACGAATAACTTGTGCTCTGCCTACTATATATTACACACTACACAGTATAAAAATCATTATTTCTATATCTAAACTATTCGCTATTATAACAAACTTCCTTTATATTCCAATTTATTTGCATCTAATGTAAAAATGAATAAGAAAAAAAATATATATTTCTTATCTTGAATAAATATCCTATTTTACCTACAACAATGCAACGTCACTCTCATATAATCGTAGCTGCACAGTATACCATTAACTAATACTTCGGACAATTTCAGATTTATATCAGACCATTATCTAATGGTTTCCTTTTTTCGATACAAAAAATATGTGTTGTACATTGTCATTTTCACTGTAATCATTCACTGTAATGACTTCTTTCATTGCGTTTTTGAAAGCTAGAATATGAACAACTCTGCTAAACAAATCAAACATACAATAAGTCCTGCTTGTACTAACAGTGATGTAGCTAGACATTGGAGCTTTCTTTTAAGACTTCATTCAGATCTATTTCCTCATTTAAGACTTTTTTTACAACGAAGAAAAAAAGTATCAATAGTATTAAAAAATTATCTTGCAAAATCAAAATCAACTTCCTTTTGTACTTAGTCTTATTCCGTTTCACATCAAGAATGAATTAACGTCCTGTTAGTTTTTCTCGGAAGATAATCAAGTTATTATTCATATATTATTTAACCGATCAGTAACAGAGAGTAGTCGAATCACTAGTGCTACTGGAAAATACATTGGCTGTTTTAAAGGTGTGTACGTTTTAAATCTGCTTGATAGTGAATAAAAGAATTATGTTGATATAGGGTATTATAATTAGAGTGCTATACAACTGAACAGAAAATGCGTATATGTCAAATATAATATAATATTTATAATGACATTTTTATAATGATGAATATTAAACGATAAATAAGTAAATTAATAAAAAGAAAATGAATCAGAATCAAACAAAACAATTAATGAATTAAGATAATTAACATATGATGAAATTGATGTTTTTAGTTAGTAGTGGTTTTTAAGCTAATGATTTTATACAAAAAGGCAATGAGAAAAAACACAACAACAGTATTTCAAGCTCAACTATTCTTTTACTCTTGCATTATTTGTTCCGCCATTTTGTGATAGACATAAATACTTTATATAATCTTTTGATATAAACGATATATTTAAATTATAAACAGACAATTTTGCATTACATTTAGTATATTGTATTTTGTAAATTTGTATGAATTTGTATGAATTATCAAGTCATTCATTGCGTTGTATTTTGTAAAATTGTATGAGTCATCAATATGGTGTAATTGCTTATTGTATATCTAAAATATAATTATTCAAATTCATATAAAACTTATCTTATTCACAGAAACCAACATATATATTTAAAAATGATAACTGGACTAAATATATACTAATTAAACATAGTGCATATTGAAACCATTTACAATAGTTTCGTTAAGGCTAAGTATTATAATTGTACTTCACATATATCCGGAAAGTAATTTATTTCGAGTGTTAAGTTTTTGAATGAGGAAGAAATATAACAATAGTTGCGTTCATGTCTATAAAACGACAAGAGCCTTTTTCTATTTCAACAAATTTTTTTGTGTCATAAATCATGTTTTTTCCTAAGGAATTTAGACCCAGCAAGTTTGATTAAAAATCCTCCAGAAACATTATACATATAATTATATTTTCTCCTCTGTTTGTAATTTTAATCAACTACTAGACATTCTTGAATAAAAACTGCACACACAGTTCTATAATAACAGGGGACAAAACATGAATTAACGGATAGGTTCTCGTGACCACACGCCGTTGTATCACATTTGATAAGCTTGATTCAGGGCACACTTTAAAAACAGCTTAATGCAATGATGGCCCCAGTTATCTTATCATCAAAACGTAACGTCAAATGATGTCGCACTAGCACCATGGAAAGCGAGCATCGAACAAGCAATTGTTCCTTTATACGAAACACAACCATACATTTGAACTTAATTTTAAATGGAAGTATAGCACAGATGTATCTTTTTTGGTGCATTAAACATCAGAAGCTCTCAGATCTGCGGGCTCGGTGTTTAAATGCATACTTGTGCTTCTGCAGATATTAATGCGCCAAAAATGGCGCATTAACTTTATATAAAGTGTTGTTATCTGGTTTGGTTTTAAGTCGCATCAACATTATAAAGGTCATATTGCGACTTTCCACTTGACTTTTGGAGGAAGACTTCATGTGTCCCTATGTACTGTTTGAACAGGCACGAGCGGGTACCCGGGTACAATCACCGACTTTCTGTAAACTAGTAAACTAGCTGGATAGCTTTCTCCCATGAAAGAATACAAAGTCCCTGGTTGGACTCGAACCGTAAGCGACGAGGGACAAGTGGTTTGAATTTGTAAAATGAAATCCTTTTAACGTACCTAAATAAATTCTATGATCTTTGATTTCTTTTCTTTTTTGTCGTTTTATCTAGTTTATCTTTCTTTGGTGGCTCCTATATCGAAATCGGTAGCGACGTAAACATGTGGATAGCCCACTATTGATTCTATGTGAGGAATAACAAATTTACTTTGTCTTCTTCATGAACCGCATAAGCTTCTATCTTGTCAAAGTATGTTAATTGTGTAATTTTTTGTACCAGTGGAAATAAGGGTCTTGTTTTATGGTTAAATGTAATATAACTAGTTTACTGATACAATCTGTAAAGTTAAGTTGTTTCACTGGTCATATTTGAGAAATGAAAACTTGCTACTTGATACAATTAAAATATTGAAGAAAACAGAATATAGTGTTTCTTAACAAAATATTAATCTATTCTTTCTTATATATATACTTAGTGTTGATGTTTGCATGTGCGCAACTCGATTCATCCATCGTAAAATTCACAAAAATCATTCTTTCCATTCAGGTACTATGATAAGATTTTTACTGAGATACAACTATGCTACCAGGTACATGGAGTAAAAGGTTTGACAATTCAAAGTCAATGTAGATAAGAAAAAGCTGTCAATTAGATTTTCTTTGGTTTATAGAGTTTATGCATAATAACATGACATCGTCAAAGTTAGTTGTTGGTGCTATAGACTTTGGGACAACATATTCAGGATATGCATTCTCCTTTGCACACGACTATGAAAAAGACCCAATGAAAATACAAGCAAACCATTGGATTGGTGGAGGACACATGTCACTTAAGGTAAATACCATTAACGCTTACACTTATAAAATCAAGGAAAATATCCAATATATTTATTAGTTATAATAATGATATTAATAAATATATGTATACTTGAGATATTTTTTATTACATTATACATCGAATAAGCTGCGCGGAGATGCGATATAAAATCTCTGTGGTTTAAAGGCAATACCTTATGGCAATAACGTCAAGATAAACATTACCATTGAAAATTTAGAAAATTGAACTCGTGTGTTATCGAAGCTCTCTAAAAATCTTTTGAATGCTATTCCAGGCCCCGACAACAATTCTTTTCACACCTGAGAAGGTTTTCCATTCATTTGGATATCAAGCAGAAGATAAATACGCTGATCTTGCTGAAGAAGACATTCATAAAGATTGGTATTACTTTAGGAGGTTTAAAATGATTCTACATCAGAAAAAAGTAATTTTTTATAATTCACTCATTGCTTCTTTATTAATCTAATTTTGAATACCAGTTGTTATTTTTAAACTTTATTTGAAAACATATAAGAAAAATAACAAATTAAAATATTGGAAAAATCATTGAATTTTCTTTTCATGTCAGGTTGAAGGAATCTGTTTTAATGCCATGACATTAATCATTATGGTAAAAACTGGAACATAAATTGTGTTTGTAATTTTATTAAAATCAGACCTTGTCCAGAAAGACATTGTTGTATGACGAAAACAAGAAGGCATTGTCAGCTCTACATGTGTTCTCGTCTGCGATAAAATTTCTGAAAGACCATCTCTGCAATGAAATGTCTAAGAAAATGACAGAATTTGAAGAGCGGGATATATTTTGGATGTTAACTGTACCTGCAATATGGACAGATGCAGCCAAAAAGTTTATGAGGGAAGCTGCATTGGAGGTATAATCTTTACATGTCGATACTGACATGTCTTAGAAAAGTACGGGCTTGTAGATTGTCTACACATGTCATTTAAAATGGTGCTCATTTTATTTGTATTATCTCTTAAATCCATTTTTAAATTGTTTTTGTAATACATTTAACTGTATAAGTTGAATCGGTTACCTTATGACAACTGCTTAGGCGTTATCATTATTGTATGTAATTGGTGCCGGAGTTATAAATTTATAGATTTAACTCTAAAATGAGAACAATAAAATTTCCGTCAATCATGACGAATAAATTGTAGAGTTTCCTTCATTTCAGGCTGGTATACAGTCAGATTGTTTGTCCTTAGCACTTGAACCTGAAGCAGCCTCCATCTTTTGCAAGCTCCTCCCGGTTGACTGCCTGAAACATAACAATTCGACATCTATTGAGGCTTTTAAAGCAGGATCAAGTTACATTGTCCTTGACCTTGGTGGTAAGTTGCTTAGACATATATTTGTTAAATACGTCATGCTTCGAATACACATACTCATGTCAAAGTAAGAAGGAAGGAAAAGAATAAAAGGCAAATCTCTACTCGAATGTGACACATTTTAATTCAATAATAATAATAATAATAATAATAATAATGAAAATAATAATAAAAATAAAAATGATTATAACAATAATTAAAATAATAATTAATCTTATAATTATAATAATAAGTATAATAATAATTATAATAATAAAAAATAATAATTTAAATGATAATAATAATGGTAATAATAGTAATAATAATAATATTATTATCAAAATAATATTAAGCATAAAAATAATAATAATAATAATAATAACAATAATAATGATAATAATAATAATAATGATAATAGCTTGACAAAAATGAAAACAACAACAACAACAACATCAGCAACAACAACAATAATAATAAAAATAATAATAATAATAATAATAAATAATTAATAATAATGATAATGATAATATAATGATAATAATAATAATAATACAATTGTATAAGTGAAAATAAAAATAAAATATTAAGAAGGAAATTTTATTTCAGGTGGCACTGTTGATGTGACTGTTCATCACTTAGAGTATGATGGAAAGCTAAGTGAAATCGCTCGTGCAAGTGGCGGTGCGTGGGGTGGTACTCAAGTTGATGAAGCATATTTAAGATTTCTCCAAAATGTGTTTGGCGATGAAGTCTTTCAAGCATTCAGAGAAAACAACACAGCCGATTTCCTTGAAATGCTGCGAGAATTTGAAATAAAAAAGAGAACTATAAATAAAAAGAAAGAAGGCAACATTGTTATCAGGTTCGCTGCTTCCCTTTCTGAAACATACAAAGAAAAATGCAGCAAACCTCTTGCTAATCACATATTGCCAGGACATCTAGGATCATCTGTCCAAATAAAGCGGGATAAAATTCATGTTGATGCAAACACAATGAAGAAATTCTTTTCAGATTCGATCACAAATACAAGCAAACATGTTAGGGAAATTTTGGAAGAGAATGAATTCAAAGAAATTGATACGTTATTGCTTGTTGGGGGATTTGCTGAATCGGAAATAGTTCAGGAGAGCGTGAAAGAAGCATTTCCAAACAAAAGAATCATCGTACCTAGCGAACCTGGCTTAGCCGTTTTAAAAGGAGCAGTACTGTTTGGCCATAATCCTTCGGTTATGAAATCAAGAATAAGCAAGTATACTTATGGAGTAGAGGTGATTAATCGTTTTGTAAATGGATCAGACCCAGAGAAATACAAAGTCTTCGAAAACGGCTTTTATAAATGCAGATACAAGTTCTGTCCATTTGTTCGAGCTGGTGAAATGGTTCCCGTTGGTACAGTCGTCCAAAAACCATTTATTTCAGATACATTTGATGTTAAAGAAGGATTTGGAATATATGGATCTACAGAAAGAAATCCAAAGTACGTCGTTGATGAAAGCTGTTTTCGAGTCGGCACTGTATATTTTGATAAGCCGCTTCAACATCATACTGTTGAAATGCGTTTCGGGGAGACAGAAATCTGTCTGCAATGCATTTTTAAATCAGGCGATAAGAAAACAATAGGTTTTGATTTTTTATGTACGTAAAAGGGTCATTGGTCCTTTAATTATGTTTGTTATCATATATCTTTATGCTACTGCTTCGTTGAAAGAAGTTTTTTTAATATGGAGATCAAGCATTCTTGGTCGGATAGTTTAATATTTTCCGTTGTTATGAAGATATGTATAACCATATTAATGTTGCCTTGATATGCTCATACATTACGTTGATATGAAGACGTAATTGCTATAAATTATTTTAATAATCTTTAAGGCGTAAATCATGCTTGGTGTTCTACACTTAAGTTCAACGCTACGCTTTTATCTTCTGATTGCATCTGACGGTTAAAGTGGGAGACTTCACACAGGTAAAAATGCACTATATGAACACCAAATGACATTTATCCTAGTTTAACATAATAATTATGTTATTCTACATACATGTTTTACATATGGAAACATCTATGGTATGCCAAACATACGTTAAACATGTGTTGCATTTTTACCCGAGTAAATGCATCAATCGAGTCTATTTTTGCGTAAAATCACGTAGAATCTAATTGAGACTGCTCAAAGTTCAATGTGATAAACATGAGTTTCACATATGTTTGTCAAGATATGTTTGTACATGGTTCTGGTTTAACATATGTTATTTCACATATAAAATGACATGTGCTTAAACAAATGTTTTTCAAAACATATGAAACACATGTGTTTTACATATGTAAACATATTGTGTGCCAAACATATACATTGTATTAAACATGTGGGGCATTTTTACCTGACTGTATATTACATGTGCCACCCTTTCTTTCGCTCTTTTGTGTCCTCTACCGTTTTTGGTTCGATGCCTTCTCGGTGCCCTGCTGGTGTGGCTAAGTTATGTTAGGCGTTGCGTGTTGTGGGGTCGTCATATTTTGTCCATCTTTGTTCTTATTTTAAAGTTAAAAAACACATTTAAATATTAAATTTATTTACTTTATGTGCAAAAGGAATATGTACACTAAAACTGGATACGCATGGAAGTATGGTAAAGAATCGTTCGATAAACGTTAGAAACATTTGATTACTAGCTATTAATTGCACGCATCTTTTTGTGTTCATATACATAGTATGGCATAACCTTTACCAGCATTACATCGATATGAACCCTTTGTAGATTTATAAAAAAATTCACCTTTACAGTATATAAACGTCAGTTCATAGTTTTTAAATTTAATATTTTTACTTTTTTCTTTGCATTTCATATGATTTAGCTTTTAAATATGTTGTTTTTGCTTCAAATGCACTTTTCTCCTCGTCAGGCAAAGTTAAAGTTTTAATATTCATAATTTTGTCTTTTGTTTTCACTCTTTCCCTTTTTCAATGTGAATGCACTTGATACGTAATGTTTGTGCCAGAAATTGTAATAATAATTCGAAATGATCAATCGTAAGTAGTTCTTTGTAAATTTAGTACAAAGTAAGTTGTCAGGTCGCACAACACAGCTATTAAAGACGATTTTAGAGACCCCATACCAACGGAGTAATATTTATCGCACAAACAATCTACGTTATATAAAGCAAACAACGCAAATTTACTGATTTTTACTCGTTTCATTGTTTGAATACCCTGATGGACTATGTAATGTCAAATAAATAAGATTCCTTTAAATGCAATACTTTTCAAATTGTAAGATCCTCGTCGAATGTGCAATAGAGAAAAAAAGAATCCCAAAAGAAAATCCAAAGTGAAAATATAGCAGGCATGGTTTGATTGAGCCCGTTCATGGGCGGCACTGTCAAGTGTAAACTACCGTCCACGCCCTCTAGCACCGGAGTATGCCGAATTCAACATTTTAACATTAACACTGTGAAATTAAAATAAAATCTTTACAGCGTTAGCTGTAAAATTAGCACAATGTTGAATTGGATATATTTTTCTGTATTGTCTTGAGTCAAAATTGATTGTGAATCGAATTCCTTTGATTTTTGTTGAGGTAACAATTGGATTAAACAAGGAAACCCCTTAATCACCTTGTTGTTTATCTTATTCTTAAATGATATTGAACGTTGTAGAGATCTCGTTAATGACTTAGAAAATCTCTGACAGCACAGCTGAATTAAAACTAGACAAAAGTAAATGTAAAATTTAAATTGGAACAAAAACTTAATGCTAAATTTGATGATAAAAGAGGGAACAAATTATTTTTCATTTTTGACACCACTAAAAACACATATTTACAATGGTTTCAATACAGAATTGTACATAGAATACTTGGCACAAGATAATTTTTGTATAAGATGCACTACAAAAATAATCCAAACTGCAGTTTTTGCAACAAATTTTCTGAAAGCTTACAACACCTTTTTTGGGACTGTGAAGTTGTTTTCGACATGATTCATGGTCTTTTTTAAAATACTCATTTGCATTTGACAGGAAAACAATTTCTTTTAAATATGCAAAATGCTGATTATTGAACCAATCTTTTGCTTTTATTGGTAAATAAGTAATACATGTAATTGTAAAATGAATTTTAAAAAACCGTCTATAGAGGTTGCTAAGCATTATATTAAGTACCAATACCAAATCGAGAAATAATAACAAGGTAGATATTTTTGACAAACATTGGGAAAGTTTGAAATATATTTTCATTTCATGATTAGTATGTGAGTGTGGACATTGTATTATTGATTATGTATTATTATTTTTAAATACAATATGACTAGAAACAGTTTTCATTTATTAGTCTACATGCTACTAAAACTATATATTGAAAAGTTTAGTGAGAATTTACATTAATCATAGGCATCTATTAATTTTTATGTACCTTGTGTGCTTGTTCGATTTATATAAAGATGTGTGTCTTTGTATGTATGTTTGTATGTATGTATTTATCTATGTTCAAAATAAACGGGGTCACCCTTAAAGGGCCTCAAAAAATGCAAATCTTCTATCGATCTGCAATCCGACATATAACGTTATATATAACGATCTGAGGCGGGTTTCCTAGTTCTTCTGGTGGAATTTTTGACTTCTTCCTGAGCGGGCCGATCATGGTTTGCAGATTTGTGTTCGCGCCGACGCGCACGCTCGAGTGTTTAAGGGATTCAATTAAGATTTGTTTTGACATGGGGGTCTAAGATATGTGTACTATTCGATAATATGTACCAATACTTCGTTTGCAAAACTTCAGGCCATTATATCGCCCCTTTTTTCACAGAATAATTATTTATTGAGTAAAATGACCCCAAAATGAAAAGTGTTGCCAAGCGAGAATCGATATTCAATTTAATTCTGAGCATATTTCCTTGTCATCTTTTGCAGATTTAATTTTCATTTCAAGTGCTTCCCTTGATCTTTGTAACAATTTCAATTTTTATTTTTTACTCCTTTTGTCCTCAGTTGAAATTTTCATGGCAAACAAATAAAGTATGGGGATTTTAAAGGTAGAATTTAATGGTGCTAACACTTCTGATTATAACTCGTTTGACACTGAATTTATTTTTTTTTCGTTTTATCGAGGTTAATAAATAGTAATGTGTATTGCAGTTGGTATATTCAAAATTACAAATTTAATTTTTAAAGAGGAAAAATTGGCTTGCAATTTTTTATGTGAGGGAAAATTGGTTTTGCATATGTGTTTATTATTACAGCATTACAGCTCGTGACGTTCGAGACATGAAATATAACCTTTTTCCTATGTTGATCTTCTGAAGCAGCAAAATCGCGTTCTTTTTGTCATTTCTTTTTATATGCATTTTTTTGAGTGCGCACTATTCACCATGGCCTTTGATTAGCTATTATCAGTTTGGCTGCCAAACGGTCGAAAATTGAGTCTTTTGTTAAACATTTAATAGTTTTGAAGATATACTCTTCACAGTTTAGATTAAAGATATACTATGCTCATCTTTGAGTAAAATATTTTAATCAAAGAAATTTGTTAAAAGATATGAAATCCTTACTGAATATGTCTAATTTGAATAAAAACGACTTAACTATGTTTTGGAAGTCGCGTTCCTTTTTACAGGACAAGTAAAGTTGGTATTTTCTTAAAAAACTGCCAGTTTTTTTTAACGACACTATATATTCATATTGTGACCACCTATAGTGTGAAGAGTTTTAAACATAACATATCTACTTTGTGTGAAGTCAAAACATGTTTATTTTATATTTACAAAGAGACTGTGTAGCAATAACCAATAATTCCTGATATCAAATTTGAGCATAGTATATCTTTAAGAACTGGTTGATATGTTATGAGCCTGATATCTACGGGTATGACTTTAAGAGCGTACACACCGGTAAATCGGTATATTGAACATTTTTAAAAATCATATTCCCCTTCTATATCTGTACACTTTAGCCATCTATTTTGAAGGACCTGAGTGTAACATTTAACGAGGTCATTTTCTAGATTGTTCAGAAATTCCTTAACTACATGTATGATTTCGTCATCTGACCGAAGTTGGCATCTGAAATAGCTTATTTCAGTGTTGGAAATACGAGGTAGGGTCGATATGTAATGCAATATGAAGTGTTTTTGAGTCTTGTGTTTGTGTAATCTTTTCTTTTTGCTTAAAGAAACATCTCCCGTTCAAATATATCAAAAATCTTTATGTTAGTCTAGGTAAAAACTTTTTTTACAGTACTTTTTAAAAATTTATATAACATGAGAAAATTTGGCGTAAACGCTCAGTTTAAAAAGGGAGGAAAATATGGTTAATAAAAAAAAGCCCCGACGAGCTTTAACAACCTTTTAAAAAGGAACAATCTGCTTTAAAAAATTTATGTTTTAATAATGAAAATTTTTTAATATTAAAAGTATTTTTAATAAAACTTTATCGAGAGGGGTTTTGCTTTAAATTTTTCAAACCCCGGGCAAAAAGGGAAGCTTGTGGTCTGATAAACCCCAAAAACTTTTCTTTAAAGTCAAGATTTTCATATTTAAAGATGCCAGACTTTCACTTACCCAGATAGCCAGTACCGGGGTATCAAAAGGGCCAATTCACACAATTCTGAAGAATCATTGTAAAGAGTTGGTTAACGTGATTTAGTTAGTTGAATATAAGTTTACTTCCTTTAAGTAATCGATCGGGGTTTTGCACGGAACAGAGGCAACATGTATTGAATTGGCTCGATAAAATCTATCACGAACAAGTGCCAGTTCACGGTATTCAAGTAAGGAAATGATTGAGTGTAAAATATTCATTGCAAGCTATACAAAATGGAGCATTGCGCTCCGCTTAAAAGGTTAGAATGTTTTACTCATAAGTATGTCCAATTCTATATTAAAGCTAAGAGGAAATAATTAACCATGACGATTTAGGAGAGATAGAGATTATCCAGACTGGTTGATATCAAAAAGTTTGTTAAATACTTTCTATCGTTCCGAAATGGCCGCTTCGTGAGCTGCGAGGTAGTTAAAATGAATGGTTACCGATTTCTATCCGCCTGGCGCCTGGCATAGTGGTAGGAATTGGGAGGTACATGGTATGCAACCAAAAGGTGTCTCATAAGTCAAAATGGCTGGCCCTTTCAGTAGGGGTGACACTATAATAAACAACACCTTTTACAGCTTAGCCCCAATTTGATTTCCATTGAGATGAAATACGCTTACTTTTTAAGGGCTTTAAATGTATAGAAGTTGCTTTAAACCGGCTCATGCTATATTTTTGTTGCTATCTTAATGGGGTCCTCTATTTCATCAATTATATTGTGTTTGTTGATAAATGGAAATGTTCTATACCCTTATCACTATAAATAGTTTATGTTTATAATATGATAATGGAATTAAAACTATATGTTATCAAACAATACAAGTTTAATTTTTCAAAAGAAAAACAAGGGGCTAAAAAAGTGCTTGAATTTAACTCTAAAAGAATATCCAGGGAACATGATACATGTATGGTTATATGATACATATATATATTAACAAATTTCAATGATTACAAAGAGCCTGGCAAATTATGTGTTTCTTGTCCCTGGCTTTATTGTATAGTGAATTATTTGCATAACAAATCATGTTTTGCAGTAAGCCTCACAATCTAGACACAAATCATAACATGATAATTGACATAATGATACTCATATGACACAATTTACTAGAAATGCATAGTGATTAATGGAAAGTAACATTATGCCTATCAATGTGTAAATGTAAACATGAAAATAGCTCGCACTTTGCCGTAATTGTATTCAACTTAACTGTCAAAAGATAATTAATTATATCATATGTTTCAGAATGTGTGGGTGAAAATCAATCTGAAAAAGAGTGGGGCAGTCTTTTTATATTGTATCTTAAACATTTTTCATTTTCAATTTTTGGACAATAAACATTAAAATATGTTAAATCTTTTGATTTTAAAAATTTTATTTTTAACGTGCTTGCTAAAATTTTAAATAGGGTTTAATAAAAATTTCCTTTTGTTCTGTTTTTAAAATGATCATTTTTTGAAAAAAATCAGTTCAATATTGAAAAAAAATGACTCTAATAATCATACACGGTGAAATCTAATTTCTGATTTAAATTGTTTTATAATTGTTATAAAATTGATTGGAATGGAATATTGTCGTGCAAGTTCGAATGAGTATTGTAATGGAAGAGAAATAACTGTTTTATGCAATTAATAACCAAAGGCCTAAAGAATGAGTTTGTGGAATTACAATAGCACTAAGGTGTTTACAATATGTAAAGAATAATTTTCTTGTAAAAAGTAATAAGTTAATTTGAATATTTCAGTTTGAAAATAAATTTGATTGTTAAAATATAGAAATTAATTTGAATATAATAATACAGAAAAAATTGAATGCTAGTATATGTAAATTAATTAGATTTTAAGTTGGAAAATTTAAATTTTGTTGTTTGAAATTTAAATTTTAGTTTAAAAATTGAAATTAGTTTTTTCAAATTTAATAATAAAATGTTAAAACTTAAAGTTCTTTTTTACTTTCTTTGAAGTTTCTGAATGTTTAAATATAAAAGTTAAAATTTTTTTAATGTACTTTTGTTTTTCGTTTAGCGGTTTTTAAAATATTCCCAAATAGCTTTTTTAAAATGCACGTTAGTTATTAATGTGAATGCACAACATCAAATTAATTTTAAAACCATTTATTTTAAAAATGCTTGGGGCTTGGCGTCGGTAACACTTCAATCCTTTTTAAGCTATCAAAACTTTTTTGTGTTTTTAAA